GTATATATATATATATATATGCAAAATAATACGAGATGGAAACTGGTACACGCAATAGCGAAAATATATTCCCCATTTTCATGAAAATGTGGATTTACGTATATATGTTACGAATGTTATATCGGCTTTTTATTATCGAACAAGCTTTCAACTTTATTTCGATTTAATTATCAATATTTGTTTAATTAGTATTCGAATTAGAAATGTCTTTCATGGATTATAAATAGCTATTTTTCATAGTTTGTCAGAGGAATTATTCGAGGGTGGATAAGATCGACATATGCTCACGTACAAAGGATATATCCTTAATGTAAGTCTTTGATACAAAACGCAAGTCTGTGGTACAACGAACGCTCTAAGCGGAGGATTTCCTTTATGAAAATAGGATTCAGCGGTACCAGTAGATCCTCCAAGTCTTAGCCTGTCGCTCCGACTTAATTGCCAAGATTATCTTTATGTAAATACATTCCTCTATCGCAAGTTACGTGTCGTGGTACCTAAGACAGTGATAAGGAGATTGCGGAGCTGGCTTGGAAAATAATCGTCGCGGGATGTTGAGGTTCCGTGGTACCGAATTTTCGCAACCCTTAGTCGACGGTGGTAGTCGCCTTCAACTTTCTCGAAGCTCTTCGGCTGGTTGCGAAGGGTAGGGATCGCTGGTAGAACGACAGGGGAGATCGGTGGTGGAAGAAAAGCGGTTGCCCTCGAGAATTCTGCCCCCTCCCGGGGGTTATGTAGGTGTTAATCGCAACTTGTGTGCAGCCTGCTGAATGTGGAGGAGAACATATACGGGGTTCAGGTATAGCAAGTAGCATAATATCGACCGTAGATATTGTTGATGCAAACGGTAACCATGGGTGACACGATCCGGTTGACCAATTGCAGTCTTCATGGTGGCCGTGCCCGACCAATCGTCTAGCGGTACGCTGCCGGTTTTTTGATTGGGCGATACCAGGGATAAGAGACCAGTTCGAGGCCATCGAGACCCACAAATGAACGTGGACGTACCAAGTGGAGAACATCGGTCTGCTGCGGTGCGAAGTGCTCATCGTTCTTCATCATCCTCGTCCTCGTCCACGTCGAAACGTTCTTGGTCACCGTCATCGTCGATCATCTCTTCTCCGTGTGTGACGCGACCTTTGGATAACTATTCGGATTTTGTGTTTCTCGGTTGTTCTGAACCTCTTCTATGTAAGATTCTTTTTACAATCAGCTTTACAGTCGTTATCCAACATGACCGCACGCCATTATGAATGCACTTGATGTTTCACATTGTACTCTGCTTCATTATCTGAAATCTCTCAATTCGATAAAACCATCAAATTTCTGTCGTTTTCTTTTCGACAAATTTTTTTATACATCACATTAGTTGAATACAAAATGGGATTAGCTTTAAAATAATATCTAATACCTTCAGGTCCTTAATTTTTTACTTTGGGTATACCATTTTTAGAA